GCGCATCTCGTCCAGCACCTTCCACACCTCGCCGCTGTGGGACTTCGCCTCGGCCCGGTCCTCACCGCCTCCTGCTTTTGAACCCGCCCCTGCGTGCTCGTAGACTAGACATGTCAGAGTGAGGGTGCTGAACCGAACGGTCATTCACTGTCCCTGGGTGCGTGGCTGAAGTGGAATTCCGCGAGGCGGATTCTCGTTGTTGTTTTGTTGCTTGTTGTTTGTTGTTTGTTGTTGTCGTCGTCCCACCCGCGACCCGCCCCGCGACCCACCCGCGACCCCGCGACCCACCCGCGACCCACCCCGCGACCCACCCCGCGACCCACCCGCGACCCATCCCGCGACCCACCCGCGACCCACCCCACGACCCACCCGCGACCCACCCGCGACCCACCCGCGACCCACCCCGCGACCCGCCCGCGACCCACCCCGAGACCCCCCCGGCGACCCGCCCGCGACCCACCGGCGACCCACCCGCGACCCACCCCGCGACCCACCCCGCGACCCACCCGCGACCCACCCGCGACCCACCCGCGACCCACCGCGACCCACCCGCGACTCACCCGCGACCCACCAGCGACCCACCCGCGACCCACCCAATTTTTTTCGGCGCCTGCGGCGGGCTTCATTTGCAGTCATTCCAGGTGGAGAACCTGCGACCCACCCGCGACCCAAACCGCGTTCAGTGTACAAATCAAAACTTTCGGCGCCTGCGGCGCGCTGTTTTTGAATTCCTTCCAGGTGGAAGTGGAGAGCCCACGACCCAACCGCGACCCAACTACGTTTATTGAACAAGCCAAAACTTCGGCGCCTGCGGCGGGTTTCTTTTGCATTCGTTCCAGGTGGAGAACCTGCGACCCAAACCGCGTTCAGTGTACAAATCAAAACATTCGGCGCCTGCGGCAGGCTGTTTTTGAACTCCTTCCAGGTGGAAGTGGAGAGCCTGCGACCCACCCGCGGCCAAAACTACGTTCACTGAAGAAGCCAAGAACGGAGGAGGCGGACGACGACGACGACGACGACGACGACGACGACGACGATAGGACGAGGACGCGGACGAGGAAGAGGAGGAGGAGGAGGAGGAGGAGGAGGAGGAGGAGCAGGAGCAGGAGGAGGAGGAGGAGGAGGGCGCCATCGACAGGGAAGGTGAAGGCCACGAGGTCCGCCGGTTCGACGCCAGCGTCGCCCGCGCCCGCCCCCTCACTCGTATCCGCAATTGCGGGGTGCTACGTATTTCACCACATCTGCTAGCACCCAGCCACCTTTGGAGTGTGCCCTGCTCCTCCTCCTCCTCCTCCGCCTCCTCCTCCTCCTCCTCCGCTTCGTGCTCCTCTTCCTGTTCCCCCCTCCACCTCCTCCTCCTGTTTCTGCTCCTCCTGCTCCCTCTCGCGCCTGCATATCTTGACCTCCCCCATGGGAGGTGCGCGCCTTCTTGACCACCATTGCGTTCACCAGCTCGTTGAAGGTCACACGGTTCGGCTGCAGGCCCGCCCCCCGCATCTCATCCATGAGCTGGCGCGCCTTGGCGAAGTTCTCGCTGTGAAGGTACGCCTCGTCCCGCGGGCATCCTCCTCCTCCTCATCCTCCTCCTCCTCCTGATCACCATCATCATCATCATCATCATCATCATCATCATCATCAGCATCATCAGCATCATCATCATCATCATCATCATCATCATCATCATCATCATCATCATCATCATCATCATCATCATCATCATCATCATCATCCTCATCCTCATCCTCATCCTCATCCTCATCCTCATCCTCATCCTCATCCTCATCCTCGTCCTCCTTCTCCTCCTCGTCCTCCTCCGCCTCCCTCCTGCCTTCCCCTTCTCCCTCCCCTACCATTCCTCCTCCCTCCTCCTCCTGCTCGCCCTCTCTCTGCCCGCCTGCGTTTCCACTTCTTCCTCTCTTCCCCTCTGGCCCAGGCTCTGCAAAGGACTCCATGTATACAGGACTGGGGCCACAGAGGGCCCAGATGGAGTCGGCCTGCTCCGAGGGCTCGAAGATCTCATCCTCCTCCTGATTCTGCTCCTCGTCCCCTCCGTCTCAATCCTCCCTTCTTACTTCCGTCGCTCCCTCCTCCTCCTCCTCCTCCTCCTCCTCCTCCTCCTCCTCCTCCTCCTCCTCCACGCGCCCGAGGGTGTCTGGATCCGAGGCGCGGGCCTTGATCAGGGTGTTGTAGGAGACCACGTCCGCCATGCCCGCCTCCTTCGTGCGACACATCCACGCCTCCGCCCGCTTCAGGTCCCTGCACTCCACGCACGCGTCCAAGACGGTGTTGTAGACCACGCTGTTCAGCTCGACGCCGCAGCGTTGGAGGGACTCGAAGACGTCGTGAGCGCCCTGCCGGCTTGCTCCCAGACGCCCCGCGGACCGACGACGCGTGCGAGTGTTGACGGGAACGTGCAACAGTGTCCTCCTCCAGGCCAGGAGGTGCTCGGGGTCGGTTCCCAGGGCTTTGCCAGGCGCCACCCGGGCCAGCTTCTCGAGCCGCGACCAGCCATGCTGACGGGGAGCCCCAGGAGAGCCCAGAATCGAATCGATAACTCGGATCGGCGATCGAAATGAATCGGATCGGCAGAAATCGGCGGCCGAGTCGGGAAAAGTCGAATCGGCAGAAATCGGCAGGCTAGTATGTCTCCAAGAAGAAATCGGAACCCAAATCGGAATCCCAAGTCGAATCGATTCGGAATCGGAATCCATCGAAATCGAATCGATTCGAATCGGAGGAATCGAAACGAGCCCTGGAGCCCCATGGGAGGCCAGAGAACAGGCGCGAGCAAGAAGGCCTGCCGCATGGGGGAGGCCGATCCCTTTCCGTTCCTCGGGCTTCTTCCACACGTGTCACATATAGCGGGCTTGGGCCTCCCAAAAGGGCCCCATCGCGTTGCTCGCAAACTTGAGCAGGGGAGCTTTGTGAAGCGGAGGAGGAGGAGGAGGAGGAGGAGGAGGAGGAGGAGGAGGAGGAGGAGGAGGAGGAGGAGGAGGAGGAGGAGGAGGAGGAGGAGGAGACGAGCGAGACGTGGACGCGGGTGCAGGAGGAGGAGCCGAGACGAGGACGAGGCCTGCCGTATGGGGGAGGCCGATCCCTTTCCATTCCTCGGAGTTCTTCCACGAGTGTCACATAGCGGGCTTGGGCCTCCCAGAAGGGCCCCATCGCGTTACTCGCAAAATTGAACAGGGGAGCTTTGTGAAGCGGAGAAGGAGGAGGAGGAGGAGGAGGAGGAGGAGGAGGAGGAGGAGGAGGAGGAGAAGGAGGAGGAGGAGGAGGAGTAGGAGGACTAGGAGGAGGATGAGGAGGAGGATTTGATTTCCAGCGCTAGGCCTTCCATCTCTGAAATTAGATCGAGGGGCTACGGCTTCTCTGGCCAACCAGGGTCCCACTTGGACCACAACCCCAGGGAGTTTCGGGTGAACACCAGAGGAGGAGGAGGAGGAGGAGGAGGAGGAGGAGGAGGAGGAGGAGGAGGAGGAGGGGGAGGAGGAGGAGGAGGAGGAGGAAGAAGAGGAGGGTGAGGTGGAGGCGCAGGAGGAGGAGGAGGAGGAGGAGAAGGAGGAGAAGGATGAGGAGGAGGAGGAGCCGAGACGAGGACGCGGGTGCAGACCAGCGATGCTGCACTGCGCTCGTCTGCGGCAGCCTGGCGGCTGCGAGCGCCGCAGCACTGGCCGGCCGAGCCGCGCAGCAGCGATCCCGAGGCGCCCAGGGGCACTGAAGCGGCGGAGGCTGCACGCAACTGCCTTTTTCCTCCTCTTTTTCCTACCCGTCCTCCCTCGTCCCTCGGGATCTGCCCTCTGAGAGCCGTGCTGTTTGTCCCTTCTGGTGGTGCGGTGCCGTGTCCGAGGTGCCCTGGCGGGATGTCGCGCTCGCCCGTCCCAGGTTCCCCAACTTGGCGCAGCGAGCCCTGCGGTTCGCGACGCGCGCTCGCCGCCGCCGCCGCCGCCGCCGCCGCCGCCGCCGCCGTCGTCGTCGCCGTCGTCGTCGTCGTCGTCGTCGTCGTCGTCGTCGTCGTCGTCGTCGTCGTCGTCGTCGTCGTCGTCGTCGTCGTCGTCGTCGTCGTCGTATCCGTCTTCGCGCCCTCGCGCCCTGAAGCATGGCAGCTCTGAGCCCGAGGCCGCGGCGCTCGGAGCGAGGCCGCCTGCGCGCGCTTCCGGGGGCAACCTGGCCTCCTCCCGGCGGCGACGATGGGGGCGAATCGCCCATGGGCGGGCACTACACTTATTCGCCCAGGAGCCTCTTCGAAGACATAGATCTTCGGCGCACCTGAGTACTCCAGATTTCGTAATAAAGGGAGGGGGGGTCCCATTTGGGGGGGGTCTCTTCCAGGCTATCTTGGAGGGCCTGGGGGGTCTGGGGACGATGTTTTGGAGGGTTCTCCCACGGGGGAGGTCTGAAATGATTTGTCTTGGAGGGTCCAGACCCCCTCCCTTTATTACGAAATCTGGAGTACACGTATTGCTCTCCCCTGGGCTATTCGCCCCTGGCGTCGCCTCTGCTCCTCCCTTCTCGTCTCGCCGGCGGCGGCTCGGCTCCGAGCTGCGGGCAGGCTGCGCTCGGGCACGGGCGTCGGCCGGCTGCGGCCGGTTGCGGCACTGCCTGCGAGTGCACCGATGCCGCCACTCCCCACGCCTCTCCCTTAACGGGCGAAGAACGGTGTAAAATAAACTGTTTCGCTGTCGTGGGCGCCTGTCCCAGGGCGGCTGGAAAGTTTATACCCTTACGGTGGCACCGTAGGGATATAAACTTTCCAGCCGCCCAGGGGCAGGCGTCCCCGACGGCGGAAAATTTATGTTATACCGTTCTTCGCTCGCTGACTCCCGGGGTGCGCACTCCAGCCGTGGTGCCGGGGGCCCCACAAGAGGCCCAGCAGGGCGGAAACGAGGAAGCGGTGGCGGTATCCGTGCCGTTGCCTCCCCTGGTGTCGAGAGGCGCGGCTGCGTGACGAGCTCATCTCACAAGCCGACGCCGTCATCTCGCAAGCCGACGCGGGCATCTCAGCTTGCCTTTGGCGAGCACCCGCGGGGGGGGCGGGGGTCCTCGGGCTGCCCTCCGCCATAGGTCTGGGCCTCTGAGCTGCCAAGGTCAGACCGCATCGAATCGCGGAGTCGGATCGGATCGGTACCCGACTCGGGCGCACGCTAACACGGATGAAGGATCCGCGGATGTGGTGCGTGGGCGCCAGGGCTGCGCACTGGGGAGGGTACCCCCGACACACGAGGCCGACATCGCCCCATTTGGCGACAACGCACCTCACGCGCCGATTCTCCCGCGACGCGGGAACGTCTCGGACGCGTGGTGGCGCGACGGGGAGGAGCTACACATGACGTGACAGCGGAGGAGGCCTGGAGCTTCCCCTCCGAGGCGCAATTGCGGATCATGGTGATGTGGCGGGAGATGTCGCACGGCGCAGCGTCCATGAACGCTTTCGCCAGCTCGCTGCGTCCGCAGCGGATGGCCGCGTTCATCAGCACCTCGCGAGGGGCAAAACACATGCTGGCCTTATCCATAAACTTCCACCTTCCACGGCGAAAGCAAAACGGAACACCGACCGACAGCGGTCTATAGAAGGAGGCAGCGGCGCAGCAACGGACAGAACACAATCAACCGGATGCAGCCCGCTTGACAGCAGCCGAACCGACCGAACAGCGGACACCCTCGTCATCCATCCTCGACTCCTCCCCCTTCGATGGAAACTCATGGGGTCCTCCCATACCATCTTGTCGGCTCTTGCGAATCGACGCTGGCCGACGCTAATCCAAGCTAAATCGACGCTAATCGACGCTGACCGACGCTCATTCGGCACAGTCTCGTCGACTTCCAGGCGCGAATCGATGTTAACCGACGCTAAAGGCGAAATCGAAAGGATATACCAGGCTCTCATGATTTGCCACCGAACCCCTGTAGCAAATCATGGTATACCATCTGACATCATGTCTTCTGCGTCGACTGGCGTTGATTAGCGTCTGTGAACGGATGAGATAGCGCCGATGTAGCGTCGGCTTGCGTCGATTAGCGCCGATGCACCGTCGATGTAGCGTCGACTAGCGTCGATTCGAAAGAGCCGACAAGATGGTATGGGAGACTCCCGTGACTTGCTACCGAACCCCCCCCCACCTCTACTTCCTGGTCCCGCCCCTCCACCTTGTCCTCTCCGTCGTCGTCCTACCACTCGTCCCCTCTCCCTCTGTTCCTCCTCGTTGTCCGCCTGGTTTTGAGCAGGGACCGACCGTCTCGGCATTCCTATATGCCTATCACGACATGTTCTCAGAGCGTACGAATGTTCCAAGAGCAAGTACACTTTTCTGATAACATCCACCCAATGTGTTACAACAAGACGCTATCACCCAGAAATGTTCAGAGAACAGCTCGTGCAGACCACAAAAGGTTCTTTGAACATTCTTTGGTGGCCCTGTAGCCAAGCCAGGACGCTTCGCCACTGCTCGACTCTTTGTCCTCCTGTTTCTCCTCATCCTCCCATTCTTCCTTCGCGCCCAGGCTGCGAAGGGAGGGAAACAGGCGAAGCAGCTTCCAGCCACCAGCAAGCACTATCCTGAGGCCCTCCTCGTCCATCTGCGGCAAGCTGACAAGGGCAACTCCCGCAGACTGACTGCGCCATGCTCCGGACATGAACTGGACACGGCAAGCGATAGACAGGACTCAAGGGTGCCTGTGATTGGAGAGGCCTGACGGCCGGTGCCGCCGACCCTGACCGAAAGGGCTAGGAGAGGGGGGAGGAAGCGGAGGAGGAGGAGGAGGAGGAGGAGGAGAAGGAGAAGGAGGAGCAGGAGGAGGAGGAGGAGGAGGAGGAGGATGAGGAGGAGGAGGAGGAGAAGGAGGAGGAAGAGGAGGAGGAGGAGGAGGAAGTGCATCCTTTGTGTGCCCGCTCGAAGAAAATGCGCCCCGGGAGCGTGATCTTCTGACTTGGGACGTGCTCCCGGAAAAGGAAGAAGAGCATCTCGGGCGTGCCCGCTCGAGGAAAATGCGCCCTAGGGGGGTGGTATTTTGACTCGGGGCCCGCTCCCGGGACGCCTCTGCGGGAGGAGGAGGAGGAGGAGGAGGAGGAGGAGGAGAAGGAGGAGAGGAGCAGGAGGAGGAGGAGGAGGAAAAGGAGGAAAAGGAGGAGGAGGAGGACCAGGAGGAGGAGGAGGAAGTGCATCCCGTGCGTGCCCGCTCGAGGAAAGTGCGCCCCGGCGGGCGTCGTATCTGCCCCGGGCCCCCCCCCCCCTCCCCCCCCCCCCCCTCCCCCCCCCCCCCTGCGGGGACTGTGATTTTGCAGGGTCGAACTGCTCATCAAAGCCGACCGCACCCAGTGCACGAGAGAGAGCGGGCAGAAGGCACACCTGAGAGGGGCGCTCACACAAGCAAGCGCGAGGAGGAGGAGGAAGATGAGGGGCCAGTACGCTGTGGCGCGCTGGTTCGTCGACTATGACGGCTGTATACCTCGACAGCCGAACGCGGTCACAGAGACCGGCCTCCAGACATGGAGAGGGGACGGGCTGCGAAGGCAACCGACCACCAACGAATATGGAAAGGACTGGACGCTTCTGAGGACCTGTGTCCTGCATGAGCGGCTGACGAACTCGAGCGACAACATTCGACAAAGAATTGCGTCTCACATCTCCCTCAGCAATGAAGCCGGCACGACACTGTCACATAACCTGTCTTGTAGCAGGCGTGAGGGGGGAGAGGAGAGGGGGAGAGAGCGGCGGAGCGGGAGAGGATGCGCAAACATTAGGTGAACGGGCTTAGCGCTGGTGGAGGTGGAGGAGGAGGAAGAGGAGGAGGAGGAAGAGGAGGAGGAAGAGGAGGAGGAGGACGAGGAGGAGGAGGAGGAGGAGGAGGAGGAGGAGGAGGAGGAGGAGCTAGATCACTTAACTTCGCGCCCAGCGCCCCGCGGTGCGCGGTGATCTTCACGAGCTCCTGGGAGAAGGCCAGCTCAGCGGCCCCAGCCGAAGCGCGTGAAGCGAGAATAGCCTCGCGACCCTTGGGGTACGGGGCAGAGCTGAACCTAAACGGTGTTTGTCGTTTGCGTTTTGTTTTCGTTTTCCCTCGCTTTTGTCCCGAATCTGCCTTTACCGCAAAACGAAGTCGATACGAAAACGGCCCAAGAAATCGCCGAAAACACCGTTTAGGTCCAGCCCTGGTGCGGGGAGGGAGGCGGGAGGAGAAGAGGGAGGAAGGAAGAGGAAGACCAATGGAAGATGGTGGAGGCGGAAGGCGGAAGATGGCGGAGGAAGAGGGAGCAGGAGGAGCAATTCGGAGGATGAGAAAGAGGGAGGAGGTTGGAGGAGGAGGGCGGAGGAGGAGGGGGATTGAGGAGGGGGCCAGAGGAGAAGGGAGGAGAAGGGAAGAGCAGGGAGGCAGGAGGAGGAGGAGGAGGAGGACGGAGGAGGAGAAGGAGGAGAGAGGAGGGAGGAGGGCGGACCGAACCCCGAGGCCCCCCCTGGGGCCCCGCGGCCCCCCGCACAGCCTGGCCCCCGAGCCCTGCATCCCGGCCGGCGCCTTCTCGGTGCGGGAGTCGAGCTGGAGGGCTCCGGCCTCGGGAGGGCGGGGCGGGGGGTCGTCCTCGTTGTCCTCCCTCGCAACAGTGACGTCGGTTCGCGGCGTTGAAGTCCCAGATATCCTCCTCCTCCTCCTCCTCCTCCTCCTCCTCCTCCTCCTCCTCCTCCTCCTCCTCTCCTCCTCCTCCTCCTCCTCCTCTCCTCCTCCTCCTCCTCCTCCTCCTCCTCCCTCCTCCTCCTCCTCCTCCTCCTCCTCCTCCTCCTCCTCCCTCCTCCTCCTCCTCCTCCTCCTCCCCTCCTCCTCCTCCTCCTCCTCCTCCCTCCTCCTCCTCCTCTCCCCCCCCCCCCTCCTCCTCCTCCTCCTCCTTCCTCCTCCTCCTCCTCCTCCTCCTCCTCCTCCTCATCCTACATATGCTTTGGCACAGCTCAAGATTTTCAAACGGTGGTCTTCCAACGGGGCTCTTCCCGCAGAGAAGCTACAGCCTTTACAGGAGCCTATGCAGAGGGAACTTGCAGGAAGGGGTTAATGCAACATCGTTGGTGGATCTTGAACTTACACTGGTCCTCCTCCTCCTCCTCCTCCCGCGGCCAGCTTGCAGGAGGTCCCCGCCCCCGTCCACCACCGGCCTCCTCCTCCCTCCTCCTTCCTCTTCCTTCTCCTCCTCCTCCTCGCTCCTCCTCTTCCTGTTCTTTCCTCCTCCTCCTCCTCCTCTTCTCCTCCTCCTCGCGCCTTGTCCTCCTCCCTCTCTTCCCCCTCCTCCTCTTGCTCCTTCTGTCCTCCTCCTCCTCCTACTCGCACCCCCTCCTCCTCTTCCTCCTCCTCATCTTAGGGGGACCTTGTCTGTTCTGTCGCGCCCCTCTCCGCGTCGAATCCGTTCGAATCCAGATCATCCATGTCGGACTCATCGAATCCGCGTCGAGTCCAAATCGAACCCGCGTCGAATCAACGCCAAATCCGCGTCGAATCCGCATCGAGCCAGCGTCGGGCACAAGAAAAAATACAAACTGTGGGGGACCGACGAGGTCTCACGAAGATGCAACGTGAACATTCCTCTGGCGAGCAGCGACCTGCCGTGACTGGCGCATGCAACGCCTGCTGGGATATTGTCACCGAAACCAAGAGCCGGGTTTCCGACATCCCTCTGCAGCGCGACCCCGTTTCTTTGGAACAAGAAAGAAACTACATAAACATACACTTTCGACGGTCCGCGCGGATTTCTTGGATCTGCGATGGACCCCCTCACTCGCGCGCGGAGCACGCCAAGGGCGTCACCAAAGGCGCCACCAGGGCGCTCCAGTACAGATCCAAAAAATCCGCGCAGACCGTCGACTGATTAGAGATTGTGTTTATGTCGATTTGTTTTCCTCGATTCCTAGGGTAGATTGACACCCTGCTTGGGAAATAGCGGGCCCAAGAAATTCGTCCATCATGACTTCCGGGTATGCCAGAAGCTCGGAGTGCACCCCGTGCCGTTAGTTAGGGCATTGATCTGGGAAGTTCGCACGTGCATCTCGTCCTCCTAGTTGAGCGTGCTTGTCGCACCTTTTGGCTTTTGCGCGCTGCACGCGTGTGCGTGCGTGCTTGTGGGCCCAGCACCCGAGCCAAGAGAGGTTCGGCCACCCTCCCCTTGTGGGACGCCGAAACCCTGCAACCAATAACTTGTCAACCGGGCGCACGGAGGGCCCAGACCTGATCACATTTATGTGCTCCTCAAGAGGAACATCGATCGTCCCGCGAAAGTATCCAGAGAGGGGCCTGGTGCCCGCTCGCTTGATGGGTCGCCCCCACTCGTCTCCTGAACCTTTCTCGTGCGCCGCCGCTGTAGACGTTCTGGTGCCAGCAGCCATACTGGGGCACGCTTCTTTGCAATGCCCCGCGCCATACCATCAACCTCACTCCTGCCTCCTCATTCCCTCCTCCCTCTGCCTCCCTCCCTCATCCATATGCGTCTCCTCACGGGAACCACGGGCCCGTGAGGTACGACCCGGCATGCCAGCCGCTGCAGTCGGCGAGGTGTTGTGGGGCCCTCGAAGGGACAAGCACGGAGTTTGCTGCTGCTGCTGGCAGACGGCGGTGGACGGGGCGCACAGCCGCTGATGTTTGTCTGTCGTCGAAATCGAGCGCGATCTACGCGGAGACGGATCCCGCCCTGCACGCAAGTGTTACAGCGGAGGCTAGTCCACAGAAAACCTTCCACAAGAAACCCAACTCTGAGACCCGAGGACGACCGTGGATTTTTGGCGTGGGAACGTCACGCTTTCCATCGCAAAACCAAAGAAACCAAACAAAAACATGGCACCCTGGAGGCAAACAGGGTGTTTCCTGGCATGGGTCCCCACTGCAGGTGCTGCAGCAGGCGCCAGTTTTTGTTGTCACACGGTCTGGCGGAACGCCCTAACCCTGGAGTGGTCCCTCAAAGTAGGTTGGCTACTCGACGTGTGTACACGTACGCGGTGACGCATGTCGGTTTGCCGCATCAAGCGGCAGCGCCGACAACATATCAGTAGCAGCCCCAGCGACGTCGGGTGGGACACGCGGTGCCCCCGCGCCCCCGCTGTCAAACATCCCCAAGCTACAATCGGCAGAAAAAAACGCAACGGCCTAAGCGCCGCAGTGTGGCCGGTATCGAAGGAGCCCGTCCAGCAACCGCGCCAAGAGAAGACTGGAACGACGCTTCCAGTCCTCACCGGGTCGCTGCATCAATGTACGATGGTGCCGCAGGGATGATCCTAGGGGAGACCGCCGCGACCCGTCGGCCTTTGCGGCCCCTGCGGATGGCCACTCCGAAGAGCCTGGCAACCGCAGCGGCTGGCGGTGCAAAACCCTGCTGCTACCGTCGAGTCGAGATGGCACACTTACGATGCCGCTTTGTAAGATAGCTCGTTGGCGCCAGGCCACTCGTGCAGTTCATCGGAAGACGACCCATGGTGCCGAGTAGAGTGAATATTCGCCTCGGACGCGGATGTGGCCTACCCTGTGACCCCAAACAGCGTGTTCAGGAACAGCGGCAGGAGGGTGTGGGACGGTCGCCTGGGGGGGGGGCGGACCTGGTTTTGCACCGACCCACCCGCCCGATGGCATATTTATCGTGCAGTCGCTACCCCAGTCGGTCAAAGCGCTGGGTTAGGCCGTGTTCGATATGCAAAAGTACCGCACGTGCCCGTCGGAGCTGAAAGGCCCACAATTGACACAACTTTCCAGAGTACGCCTGGCTGCGCCGTCGCAGCCTGGAACGGGGCGCACTCGCCATCGCAAAATCGGTTTGAGCACAATTTCGATTTGCACCAATGGACATTCATATTCATTGTTCTCGTTGGTGCTAAGCCCACTGTGCATTATGCATCGGTTCGACTTGCTAAGTGCAAGTAATCATCCACTGAGGCCCCGAGCACGCGCGACTGTGCGAATATCCACGATCATCTTCCCTCCTCCTCCTCGCACGTGGCCGGGCGCCGCAGTCCTGTCGATCGGCCCGCGCCCGCGCGCGCCCGCGCGAGCTGCGCCCGCGCGAGGGGCGCTGCTGAGTTAGCGGCCGATGCTGGCAGTGGGAACGGCGGATGATACAGAGCACGGAGCTTCAGGAACAAAATATGATCACACAGGCAGGGGCGATCAGAGCAGAGCGGGTGGGCCGGAAGATACCGCAGCGGCATATGGGACAAGAGAGGACGTCATTCACGAGAGCCTGTCGCAGCAGAGCCAGGAAACTGGGGCACTCCCAGTATTGATAAATGGGCTATGCAACATGGCAACCTAGCATGCAAGGTAAACGTCGGCCATCATGCGCATCCCATGCAGAAGCGAGCGGACCTCTTCCCCGTTGACGAACTCCAAAACCTCAGAAGACCCAGGGAAGCACGAAGCGAGACGCCGCCCGAAGGCAGCAACGAGGTCATCAGGGAAGAGCTCACGCTGGAAAACTCGAACAAGATGAGCCTACAATCTCAAACGCTTAGGGGGTCGAGATGACTCGGAAACCGCGGAGAGAAGCCCCTTGGGCAACGTCCAGAGCGACCGACCCAGCTCGAGCGAGGGCGCGCGAGGCGGGGTCGCCCACGGCGGTTTGTCCTAGATACTCAAAAAAGCTGGGCAAGCCCAGAATGATGGCGCGGACAGACCACCGCGCTGATTCACGACTGGGAGGTGCCATGCCGCGAACTCTCTGAGATCGTCTAATATCGCAGCATGTTCTGGGAATGTGTGAATAGCAGCGCGCATCAGAAAAGCTGCGCGCAGTGCCTGTATACTGGTGAAGCGCGGACCGCCCCGCCGGCCGGCGCTGGGCCAACCGGCGCCAGCAATGGCGCAATGGGGGGCAGTAAGAAGGGAAGTAAACGTCGAGTGATCAGCAGAAGAAGCGGGGGCAGGAAGGGCAGGGGATGCATCGGGGAGAGGAGAGAACTGGGCAACATGGGTCAGGGTGGACAGAGCGCGACTAGTGTAGAGAAACTCGATGATGGCAGAGGGGGGGGGGGGGGCTACCTTCGCGATCACTGCGCTGCGGGAGGCCCACTTCATCAACGGTTTGCCCCAGCGCTCTGCGCAAACAGCTGGCCCCACCATGAGACCGAGGTACTTCAATGACGGAGCTATCGGGGAACGCCCCCAGTCGGGAAGATGATTCCGAAACCGCATCCCCCGATGCTTGACGACGAGGGCGGGAGAACTCCCCCGCCAAGGAGACTAAACAAGTCGTTCGAACGTTTCAACTTGAAAGAATCAAAGGCTTCGCTGCAGTCAAGCATAGCCTGAATGCGATGAAGTTCACGAATCGACGAGGCCACCGCCCCGATGTCGTCAGCAAATGCCCGAGCAAGGCCCAAACACCGCTGCTCAATGTCGACCTGCAGCTGGCCCCGCGCCCCATGCTGAGGCGCGTCAGCACGTTGCTCGAGATGGCGAAATAGGTCGACCAGGAAAGGATGGCCACCGATGGCGAACAGCGCTCCAAGCCCAGGAAAACCTTGGAAGACGCCTGCAAGCATGCCGAAGACGCACTCGCACACTCGCCCGTACGTCGTGAAGTACCGAACGTTCGAGTATAGATGTTCCACGAATACCAGCAGCGGCGCGGCGGCACCGGAGGCGGCGAGGACCATTGAAACCCAAGCATGGACCACCGATGGAGAGGCCTGGCCATGAATCGGAGGAAAATAAAGCTGGGAGCCGAAGAGCTGCATCTGGTAACGTAGATACCGCGCGTCTGCGGGCATCTAATATTAAAATGTTTAGTCCAAAGTTCTGTCCTTGGGCGAAGCCTCGCTGCGAGAAACACGCGCGCGTCTTGAGGAGCTTGCGAATGCCCTCTGACGCCGTGCTAGTGATGATCTAATTGGAGGACTGCTTGAAGCCTAGGGGGCGGGTCTGGTCGGGGGTCCTGGCGATCACATTGGCGCCCTCATCCCCCCTCCGCCCTCGGCAATCAAAACACCGCGATCACTGTTGGGGGCAGGAAGCGTAGCCTTATCACTTAGCTACCACCATGAAGCAGCATGCGGAATCGAGAGAGTCCGAAAGCGACTCTTCCAAGCCCTGTAATAAGGGAAACCATCGAGCCAAGGGGCGCTATCTTCAACCCGCTTAAGACGACGTTCTAGGAGACGAAGGGAAGGGGGGCAACAGACAGATCAGCACCATCAGAAAAACGATGAAGATACTCACGGGCAGCCGAGAGATTGATCTCTTTCTTGGCAGAGACTGGCCGCCAGTGACCAGCGAGATTCTGTAGGGCAGCGGAAGGCGCCGTTGCGACCGCGCCCCTCGCGGGCGTCTTGATGCCCTGCAGGGGCATCTTCCTATCGAATGGTGTCCGGCTGCGACGAATGGTGGTTTTCAACTGTCGGCGCGCTTGGGTTCTCGTCAACTCGTCGGTCGAATTCGAATTCGCCCCGCGGAGATCGGCCTCTTTCTGAATCGCGATCATCTCGTGCATCGAGTTCGAGCGTCTCTGGAACCCAATCGGATCCGTAAGCTCCACTGTCCCCGCCAGTGGATCAATCCGAAGAAAGAGCCTGTCCAGCTCGTGAGATCGCCGAATCCTGTCTGCGCGCTTGAGGTCTTGCCTCCAGATCGCCCGGCCGATAGCTCTGATGACCACCAACCGGGTAAAGGGAGCCTCTGGTGAGCCAACAATCATACTGTCTCGAGCGATCTTAGCAGCCTCTCGCATCATCTCAGCACGGCACTGAAGCAGAAGAGGGGGGGGGCCGCGAGCCCAGGTCACAGTTGGCCTCGATAGCATCCAACAAATCACAGTCAGCTGGGTGATCGCAAACCGCTGGTGGAACTGGGCGCTCTGAAACAAGGACCTGACCCCCAGGGGGAATCGTGACCTGAACTGGCGCATGATAGCATATCCCTCTGTTGTGAAGCTCGGGTGGTTCCACCACCTCTCCTGCAATAGACAGCTGTGGGCATAGCCAACCAGGAAGAGACATGACTTGCCAATCAACGTGGCCGAGCATCCACTTTGCCGCAAAGTGATGAGTCGGCTCCTGGACCTCCAACTCCACCACCCTCCTCAACTCCCTCGTGCAATCCACTTCCTGTCTCGCTCTCCAATCCTGGATGAAACGGCGGGATGCATCATCTACCTCGGCGTCTGGCTCCTTGCAGGGCGGCTTGCATGCGAAATAAGAATCTCCGCTGACCACGACCAGGACACGGGCGGGGTGGGCGAGGGAGTAGTCGAAGCCGTTAGCGAGAGAGGTCATGATACATGTCTTCTCGCTAGCACTCAAGCCATGGTTATGTATAGTGTAGCGTGTAATGCGCATGTCGTCGTCAGACGTCAGAACCACCAACATGGCCCGTCCACGAGCGAGCTTAGCAACGTTAGTGCGGGGAGCACGCCGGGGGCAAAAGTAATCGCACCGCCAGTCTGGGAGCTTGAACGGAACGGTGAGTAGGACGAGTACTTAAGGTTAGAATGGTAGAGGAAACCATGGATCTCTAGCCTGGTGCCATGGCTCTCTTGGACCGCCACGATGGAGCCAGAGGGTTGGAGAAGCTTCCGCAGGAGGGCAAGCTATGGTTCACGGAGAGCAGGGTTATGATGAAAGAGGGCTCTGGCATTCCGTGTGGTCAGCATAAGGGGCCACTGAAATTGTCGGGGGCCGTGCCAATCGCTCAGCAAACTGCTAAAGCGACCACTGGGGCGGCGCTGCTGGCTGTCCAGCGGCACCGAACCTGCCAGCGACGGGCTCCTTGGAGATCCCGAGCTCGGTGAGGTTGGCGATGCACCATTCGACTTTGCACTGCTCGTGACCTGGGAGCGGCGTGATTTTCGCGAGAGGCTTCCAGTTGGCACTGGTATCGTCCTTCTGCTTGCCACTGAAGTATCTGAAGCCCGCCGCCTCCGACTCGAAGGCCGTGCGGAGCTGTTTGAGACCAAGTTCTCTCTTGACCATGGCCGGCGACTTGTCCGCGCTGACGAACAGCTCAGCCATCTGACCTTGAACGTCGGAAGCGACAAACTTCTCCCACTCACCACTATGCTTGCGCAGGGCGCCGGTGGCCTGCGTAGGTGGAGTTCCCCTTGATCCTGGAGGTGAACCGCTTGCCAGCAGGGTCGGCAGACAGGGAGTTGTCCTCCTTCTCAATCTGCGCTAGGTGGAACCAGGGGGCGACGGCTCTCTCGACCTCCTGGCGGGTGACGACAGACTTGGACCTTCCGATAATGATGCATGGGTCGATGCGCCTGCCGAAAGAGGTGTCGACGAGGTTGGCAGACGGCTCTTCGTCTTTGATGCAGTGCAAGAGGGCACGCATCTCGGCCATCTGCTGCTCCAGCACTGTGACTCTGAAATTGGTGGCTGCTTGGACAGAGTGGATATCCGCGAAGCGCACCTCGACCGCCTTGGAGATGGTGTCGCATTTGTTGGTGACCGTCGTGCCGAAGGCGGTCACCTGGGCTTGCAATCGCTGGACTGCTTCCAGCATCTCATTTCGGGTTTCACTAACAAAAGAGCGCAATGTAGCCACAGCAGAAAACGGATCCTCGGACGGCCTGGCTCTCTTCCCATCTGGCGACTGTGTCTTCCCGGCGTCGCCATGCCCTCGGCGCGGCTGCTCGTGGGATGGAAAGGTGGCGGCCTCATCGTGCAGCCTGATGAACTCAGCCTGTTGGAAGGTTTCGGCGGCGGCAGCCGCGGACATCCCAGCGCGACTGCGGAGAGGTGGCGGGGGCCGTGTCCGCCAGCGCACGGCACGCTGGAAAGCTCGGAGGAGAACTACCCGCTCGCAATGGGACCAGATCCCATCATGAGCCAAAATGGCTACGGTTCTTCCTTCCTCCTCCTCCTCCTCCTCTTCCTCCTCCTCCTCCTCCTACTACTTGTCCTCTCTGCTCCTCTTCCTCCTCTTCTTCCTTCTTCTGATCCTCTCCCTCAGACCTAACTCCCCACTCCTCTCCCACCTGCACATTCTCCTTTTCCCTATATTCACCCCAATCCTCCTTGTTTTCCTGGTGTTCGCCCAGCTCTCATTCCTGGAATCTCAATCCCCACTCCTCACTCCTCCTCAACCCTCTTCGTCCTCGTTTTCGCCTCGGCGCCCCATCCTCACTCTGCCTCCCGTCCTGCTTCCCCCTCCCCCAACTGACCCCGTTTCTGTGGAACTCTGCATGCGCTGCGAGCCCCGCGTCTTGCCAGCACAGACGCGGCATGCGGCAGCATCGGCCACAGTGTGCGGAGCGCGTCTCCCTCCTCTTAGACCCCGACAGCAGCACCGAAGAAGCACGAAAGCGGCAGCGCGGCACCGAATCACAATATCGTCTGAGGGTGTAGGTGGAGGAAGGGTGGAGGAAAGGCGGGGGGAGGAGGGTGAAGGGAGGAGGGTGGAGGGAGGAGGGTAGAGGGAGGATGGAGGAGGAGGAGGGTGGAGGGAGGAGGAGGGAGGAAGGGGAGGGTGGAGAAGGAGGAGAAGGAGGAGGAAACGAACCTACGGGCAAGTACCACTCCTCCCCTGCCCTGCCCGGGGACGCCTGGCCGCCTCGCTTCGCGAGCGCCCGCTCGTAGACGTCGCAGGCCCGCTCGCTCTCCTCCGAGGCCAGGGGACGGGGACGACGTGGACAGGACTGTGAGCTCTCATGCAACGGCCTGCAAGCGCCAGCGTCGCCTGCTCTAGAGAGCAGAAAATCCACCCACAGAAGAATCACCCCGACACGCGAAACCGTTGAGTAAACTCACATCAAGAAGGGATCGTGCAGGGCAGGGCTGTCTAGTTAACGGCCAGGGCCGTTTGGTAAACGCCAGGTATCGGGTCCGGGTGGTTTTTCCCTCCGTGGTGCTCTCCCGCCGCGGCGAGGGCATTGGATACGAAACCCGCGGATAAAGGGTCCAGAGTCTGGAAGCCGGTGGAACTCCCATCGAGGCTCGGCCGTGGATCTCACCGCCGCCGTCATCGGACAGGCAACCCTCCAGGGTCCGTAGCCTCCTGGGCACATGCCTTCAACAACGCCCCCACTGTGACCCTCGTCGACTTGCCTAGCGCCACCACCGGCAACGTCTGGTGGGAATCTGACGCTCGAGCGCGCCCCGTGGTGGCTATCGCTGTGGTGGCTGCAATCGGCCGTTGCGGCGCTGCGCACACCCCGCGACGGGTTGCTTCTTAGGTGGCCAGGTGGCCTGTCAGGCCGTCGAGGCTTGGCACGAGCAGCAACCAGTTCGTCTGTCGTGGCGCAGAGCAAAGAAGGGACAGTATCACCCCAATCTAGCATGAAGGCAACTGGTCCTACACGAAAGAGAGGTCCCAGATTTTTGCTCGCCACTTTCGGGTCGCTGGGAATCTGGGACCTCTGCCTCCGATCGAAAAAAACAAAAACGCCATAAACATAAACTCTCAGCTTTGATCCTAGCTTTTCGCTGGAATATTCTGCAGAAGCTGGGGAAAAAAACAGAAGAGTCCCACAGGAAGGGCTGGGAGCCCGAGGCCGCCCCCAGAGAACGCCCTGGTCTGGAGGCGGTCCGGCGGCGGTCTCGCCAGAGACCTCCCAGCAGCTGCCCCAAGAGTCGTGCTCTCGCCTGGGCGATTGACTCAAGAGTCGAGATGCCGCCTGGGCGCCTTGTCAGAGGCCTCCTAGATGGGGTCGGAGTAGATGGGGTGGGAGGATCGCCCCGCATCGGCGGTGCATCGGCGATACATCGCCGATGCATCAGCGATGCATCGGCGATGTCGGCGACGCATCGGCGACGTCGGCGTGGACAAAAGCAGGTTCTACATCGGCGATGCTGCACGATCCTCCGACCCCATCTGCTCCGACCCAATATTGGAGGCCTAGACTTCTACATGTTTAGTCCGGGCGACCACAATTCCTCTTATCGAAAACGCACTGTGGCGCACATGGCCGTTCTCTCACTCCTGTTCCAATATGGCCGACCGACCTCACACTCCTAGACAATCCTCCTCACCATTGCTGCTATTCGGGTCATAGCTGCGCCAATACGCAACTCGCGACACATAGCGTATTGATACGGAGCTCAAAACGTAGACGGAACACGTAGGTCTGACGCGATCCGTTCGCCAACACGTGGGCCAATACGCTGAGCCAACACGCAGGGTATCGGCACAGACGATTTAAGCACGGCGCGTGTTGCGTCTCAAGAAGGGGCGTATCGAAGCAGCCCAGATCAGGGTGCGCTGCTGGGGTGATCCTTTGCCGTGTTCGGGCGCCCAGGATCCTGGACTTGTGAGGACGTGCGCTGGGCGGTCCTAACCAGGTCGTGTCCGCTACGTTCCCTGCTGCACTATAACGCCTGACGGGTCTGGGATCACTCACTCACGTGATGGGCCTGTTTCCCACCACCACCACCATAAGCTGGAGGGGGACAAGAGGTGGCGGAGGAGGAGGAGGAGGACCCCCTCCCCCTCCAACTTATAATGGTGGTGGAGGAAAACAGGCCCATCATCACGGGTGTCCGATGCGCGCAGACAACGAACATTTGGCTGGGGGCGCTGTGCAGAGAGCACGAGCCCGACCAACGACCGGGGATCCTGGCCTCGTGCTCGCCGAGATCGGTGCGCCGGGAGCCTCGGGTGGGCTCGGCGGCTCGGGGCGAAGAGCTGGCCCCGGAGGCAGGCCCCCGAGTCAACACCGTGGGGGGTGGACGAAGGAACCAGACGGTCGAAATCTATAGTAACGGCGGGCGGTGAGGACGCAGGGGCCTTGGGCGCCGAAGTTGGCGCTTTTTGGGCGGCGGTCTGCCAACACCCTACATGGCCGGTCAGCGAAAACCGCGGAGGACGGGCCGCAGAGGCAAGGACGCAAGGGTACCCTGGGACATCCGCGCGGCCTTACTATATTTGACCGTCAGGAATCCAGGGTATGGAAGCTGGTGGATCCCCAATCGTGGCTTGGCCATGGGGTGCCCTCATCGGCTACGCGCACGAGCGAGCCTGGGCAGGAGTGACCTGTGGTGTGCAGACTACGGGGGCGCAAGGTGGCCCGATCCAAGCACGCAAGAGCCGCCATACCACGTCGCGCTCAGCGATCGGGGGGGACCGCACCAAAGAATACTCTGGCGAAGGGTCACTCTTACGTGTTGTCGACCTCATCAGGTAAGGAACCCCGTAGTGTCTGAAACCCAACGCCCCCATCGTAGGACCCGCTTCCCTCGCCCCCCCTCTCCCAAGACGGTGCTCGTGCCGCACATGCGCTCGCGAATTAGTGAACTAGCGGCGTCGCGCTTGCGATCGCGACATTCCTTGCCACCTCCCTTCCTCCCCCACCCTCTCCGCCTCTCCGTCCCCCTCAGTCCGACAGGGCATCTTGCGCGCTTGTGAGAAATGCTCAGCATTTTCTGGTGGCTCTCTGCATCTGTCTCTTTTCTACAACAGCCGACGTAGCCCTCGAACGGACTAGATCGGCGATCACCCCCCAATATCAAAACCGTGCGACTATCAGGCCGCTATCGGCGATTCATGGGCGATTGGAGCTCCATGCGTTCACCCCTGGGCCTATCCCCCCGAAGGTTGCCCTTGACTTTCGTGACTAGATCGTTCTCGCAACGGCCGTGAAAAACGAAGCGGGTCATCATTCCTCATTTCTCGTGATTCGGACGGGTGGCCGCGCTGCCCATAGAGTTTCTGCAAACATCCCCACCCCTCGTAGTCAACACTGTAACGTTCCCCCCTTTGATTCACAAATCACCACAATGATTCTTGACGTCGGCGTTGTTCGCAGGGGCGAGGCCGGGGAACACGAGGGTTTGGGTCCCCTCCAGGGCCCGAGAATGCAACCGACACTCGTGCGTCCTCCCCAACGCCGAACCCAGTATTTCAAATTGGACTCGACTGGCCGAAATTTCGGCCCGCGCCCGGGTTCTTCACCAGGCTGCTTTTTGGCCAAGCGTTCTGGGAACTCTGGCGAGTCCTGTAGCAGCCCCAGGGCTGCCGAACGAACACGATGCCCCAGGGCCCCGACCCCCGAACCTCGAATCTCAGGTGTGGGGGAAAAGGCGGATGCATGGGCCTCGGCATGAAGCGCATGGGTCCCGAGAGAAACGTGCAACTCCCTCCTATCCTCCTCGTCCTCCTCCTCCTGCTCGTCCTCATCCTCCTGCTCGTCCTCCTCCTGCTCCTGTTCCTGCTCCTGCTCCTGCTCCTGCTCCTCCTCCTCCTCCTCCTCCTCCTCCTCCTCCTCCTCCTCCTCCTCCTCCCCCCTCCTTCTCCTTCTCCCCCTGCTGCTCCTCCTCCTCCTCCTCCTCCTCGCGGATGCATGGGTCTCGGCATGAAGCACATGGGTCCTGAGAGAAACGGGTCCTGCACCCCGGGTATTCTTCAACAGGCCCAGGGCCTAGGGAGGGCCCCGAGGGTAAGAACAGAGGCACACTCCGGCAGGGCTGAAATCGGCCAAGCTGAATTCGGCCCGGGCCGAGTCCAGCCTGGCCGAGATCAGCCTGGCCGAGTTCAGCCTGAGCGAGTTTCGCCTGGCCGAGTCTTTCCCTTGTCTGAGGTGGGCAGGTACTGAATGATTCGCACCGACGACGGGCGTTGTGAGGGAGGCGCAAGGGGGGGTGGGGCGGGGGCGGGGCATAACGTTTCCCCCCCCCCCGCCATGCGGGTGCAGCACTACAGACTGTGGTGCCGGACGCACTGCGGCAGTGCCGGAAACGCACTGCTGGGTGTGGGGGGAGAGGCGTTACGTTATGGGAGGGGGGGGGCGGGCGGGAGGGGGCGGGCATGACGCGCATGAGGGCCCAGGGGGCTCAACATGGCCACACTGCAGGAGGGGGAGGAGGAGGAGGAGGAGGAGGAGGAGGAGGAGGAGGAGGAGGAGGAGGAGGAGGAGGAGGAGGAGATTTCCATGTTTTTGTCGTTCGTTGGAGCCCTCGCGCGGGTCCTCCGCCTCGGCGAACAGGCGGACGAACGCGCCCAGCAGCTGGGGCGCGTCGGGCTGCAGCCGGTCCGCCATGCGCGCGGCGAGGGACGTGTTCCCGGTCCGCCCGCAGGCGGCGAGGAGCGCCAGCGCCAGGTCCTCTCAATGGGGCCCAGGGGCACAGAAATGACCCGAGAGGTGCCCAAAGCCTTCTCCACGCGAGGCGAATACTTGCCTGACCGCTCCACACGAAAGAACGCATCGCCAGATATGCACGATCTGCGCCGCCCTCACCTCCGCCGTGCCTCCCACGAGCCAACGACAGTGGCGGCAATTGCACATGCCGTAGCCTCCCTAGGAGCTGCGAGGTCTCGGCTGGACCCGCGTGGTCCCAGACTCCGTTGGAACTCCCAGAAGCCAACGAAAGTGGCAATAATTGTACAATTCGCCGCATTCCAAGCAGCAGCGAGGTTTCGTCTGGGTGCGCGTGGCCCCCGACTCCGCTGGACCTGCCAGTTTCACATGAAAGTGGGGACACTTGCACAATTCGCAGCCACCCAGGGAGCAGTGAGGTCTCAAGTGGGTGCCCCGACTCCGCTGGACCTCCCAGGAGCCCGCGAAGTGGCGACAGCTGAAGAATTCCCAACCACCCAGGGAGCAGTGAAGTCTCAAATGGTCCGTTTACTCCCCGACCCCGCTGTGCCTCCCATGAGCCCGCAAAAGTGGCGACAGTTGCACAGTTCGGAGGCACCCAGGAAGCAGAGCAGGAGGAGGCAGGAGGAGGGGGGAGGCAGGAGGAGAGGGGGTGAAGGAGGTGTGCGACCGCAGTGCTCTTTTCAAAACGAAAACTTAATACAGGAGGGTTGGGAATAAGTAGACACAAATCCAGGGGTTCCCAACATTTTCAATATGTTCTTGAGTTTCGTCTTGACCACCACCTCCCGTAGTTACCACTGTTTTCCGGGAAATAGACAATCATTTGTGTCTGTGACTATGTCTCCCTCCTGATCCTCTGCCGTGCGTTCGATCCTTCCCGAACCAGTGCATGAACGCAGGGGCTCTTACTTTAGAGGCATCCTGGATGGGGTCCCAGACGCCCTCGGGAAATGAAACAATTATGACAGGACGTTGTTCTCTGTGTTCGGCCTCCCGGGGCCCTCGCGGGGCCCCACGGCCGTCAAAGAGCGACCCAGGATGAAAAGCCTGTCCTAGTGTTATATTACCCGATGACCGCTACAGTCTGCAAAACAATAATTATATGAAAAATACTCTAAAAATATAGGAGGGGGGGGGGGGGGGGAAACGCCTATGCTGAATACTCAAAAAATAGTCTAAACATACATCATAAAACCAATGTTTTTTTCCAATCGCCCCACGCATTGTGCGAGCGATGAACCTTTTCGGGGCAGAGTGCAGCAGTAATCGTAAGAAGTGGATAAGGCCACTTCGAATGTGTTTGTGTTATTGTTCCAGGTGTTACCGAAACACCTCCCCAAACGGGTGCAATCGTGCACGGTGGGATCTTGCGCTGGAGGATTTCGGAAAACAAGAAATAGACTAAACCGATCTAGTCTTTCAAGAGGGGCCCAGAGCCCAGAGGCCCGAAGTGACAGCAAAAACACTGGCCCCACAGAGCCGAAGCCCTGACACCGTAGCGTCCGCGGGCTGCAACCCCAGAGAAAACCTGTACACCAATCCCCGATGCCCAAATCACGCTACCAGAGGCCGCAAGGAATCCCCCATTGAAATACTGGCCGCGGCTTTTCACGCCGAGGCCCGTCACCCAGTGCCCCGCGCCGAAGTGCAAATCCAGCGCGGGGCCCCAAGACCGAGGCCCTTAACGAAACACAGTGGGCTCCAAGATCCGAGTCCTGAATCGGCCGCGCCCCATACAGATCAACAGAAACCACCTGCAAGTGGCCAATCCGACGCCGAACGCCGACCCATTGCTCCAAGACCCTTGGGTGTGGGGCAGGCGGAGAAGGGCGACAGCCCACGAATACGAAGGACACACAATGGGAAGCACGGGCATGCTGTGTAACCATCAAGAACATACATATGAATAGACATTCTCGCGCACCGCACCTGATCAGGCAGACCTCAGGGGCAACGCCCCCCTTCCTCGAGACAGGGGGGCACGAACAAATCACGGATACTATTTCCCAACACTGGCGCAGGCAGTGTTACATCCACAGATCCTGTCTCACCCTTCGGCACGCGGCCCCGCGCCGCGGCCGTGCGCGACCGTGCCCCATCGTGGGCGGGCCCGTGACGCAGCGCTGGTCGCCACGCTGCGGGGGCGCGGGCCTGTCGTCGCAGGCCCTGGCACCCACAAAAGTTCAGCAGGGTCGAAGGCAAACTGATTCAGTACTCGATCACCGCATCTTGAGCGCATCCCTGTACCGCGACACCACGACGCGCGGCAGTGACTCAGGCTGGATGCCGAACTTCCTGAGCTTGGACTGGGTATTCATGCAGCTGTTGCGCATGGCTATCTTGTTACCTTGGAGCGACTCCGTGCCGAACGCCTTCAGGAGCTCTGCGCTCATGCAGAGCGCGCGGATGACCGCGATCTCCTCGGTGATGCCTGCGGTCGCCTCGGTGGAGTAGCTTGGCAGCGAGTACTCTGTCGCCTTGCCCGCCACTGTCGTCAAGGCCCCCTCGATGGTGCACGTCTGGTCGAGCCACTCGTTGACGGGCGCCTCGTGCAGACCGAGGCGGTAGAGGTCGAGCGCGGCATTGAGAGTCGTACAGTTGTCGCACTCCTTCTTGAACTCAGCGACGCCAGCCGCCTCCTCAGCGCTCTTCTTCAGGTTCGTGAAGTCCATCGCGCCGGCCCCAAACCGCCTTCCCCCCGCGGAGCGGCTGTAACCCCGACGCGAGACCGGGGGGCGGCGATGGGCGCAAGCCCAAGGAATTCAAAACTGACCAAAGGAACATCTTTTCACCACGGCAGCGCAGACTCCTGAGGGGGGCGACAGCCCCCGAAAGATGCAGGGAGGCCCAGTTCGTCGAGGCCTACCTGCACGTGCCCTGGCAGCGGCTCCAGCAGAGATAGAATACAGAAGTGGACGGAGGAGAGGAGGAGGAGGAGCCAAAATGACGTCGGGGGCGGCTACGATAGGGGAGCGATAATGTGACGCACATCCAATCGCGCCGGCCCCAAACCGCCTTCCCCCCGCGGAGCGGCTGTAACCCCGACGCGAGACCGGGGGGCGGCGATGGGCGCAAGCCCAAGGAATTCAAAACTGACCAAAGGAACATCTTTTCACCACGGCAGCGCAGACTCCTGAGGGGGGCGACAGCCCCCGAAAGATGCAGGGAGGCCCAGTTCGTCGAGGCCTACCTGCACGTGCCCACACTACCCAACTTCCGTTTGGTGCGGCTAGCCGAGGGTGGGAGTCGAGCAGAGCGAGACACGGGAGGGCCAAAATATTCAAGAATCTGCGCTGGGAGCCGCTGTGATATTTTCTCTGAAAGCTGCAGCTGCTGGCGAGAGAGCGAGGACCGATTGCGAAGCATCCCCGCTGGCTTCGAATAACGCAGCACAGAAGATCGGCTGAGCCACCTCCCTCGAGCCTGGAGCCTGTCAGCATCATCTTTAAACCACCATGCATCATGACTAGGACCAGCATGCCGAAAGGCATGCGGCGTGAGGGGAAGCTTCTCAGAAAATTGGGCTCGGCGAAACTGGCGGCACAGCTGTTCCCATTGTGCGAGAGAGAGGTCGAGGAGAGGACCGGAGGCGGAGGATCGGGCGAGGGTGAGGACGAGCTTGGAGACCCACTCCCTATCATGAGCGCCCACTACTGTCGAAGCATCATACTGGGAAATTTTCGCGGGCACATCCTGCGAGGCTGGCGCAACCGTCACGACGACTGGGTCTCCTGCCCGTCGCGGCAGCGAGACGCGGTCAGCGGCCAGCTGCAGGGCTTCCGTCGGTCGGAGGTAGCAGTCCACAGCAATCCAGGCTGCCGCGGCGGCCACCTTGCCCATGTGCCCGCAGTTGTGGAACCAGAAGTCCGTGCAGAGCCAGATGATCTCCAGCGGCAACGAGTCCCTGACCTTGTCGGGGTTCGCTCGGCCGAAACCGTGGAGCGCAGCACGAGCAAGAGGGAGCGTCGCCGGCGATCGGGCTGGCAGCCCGATGCAGTAGGCCGTGCCGAACACGGCGTACCGGGCGGCGCTCACGCTGTCGCCGCGGAGGAACAGCATGTCGAGGTAGCCGTCGAGGACGCGGTCCCACCCGTCAGCGGTGGCGGGCAGCTGCCCGTGGAGGCCCGCCCAGGCCCGCACGTCAGAGAAGGCCCGGCGGTAAGCCGATGCCGTGGCAGGCCGCACAGCCGCCCGCCGGCAGACGCCCGGCTCGGACCCGTGGTAGCGCTCGCGCGCGGCAGCGCGGCGCCGCCGCTCTCGCCGCTGCTCGTCGGGCTCGGCGATGGGCGGCAAAGGCCTCGAGCTCGACGGTCCAGTGGTCCCCGTCCCAGTGCTCGATCGCGCCCTCCCAGCCGAGCCGACACCTCGACCCGACTGGCGCGAGGTCCACGCGTCGCCCGCTGGGCCAGCTCTCGACGCCCGCCGCGGCTGCCAGGCGTCGCTCCCAGCAGGCGGCGAGGGGAGCCTCCCGCGCCTCGCGCCAGGCTCTCGGCGGGGCGGCATGCCCGAGCACGTCTGCAAGAGCGCGGCACAGCTCAGGAGGATACGCCGCAGCGTAGGCGGTGCGCCACTCCGAGGGCTGGCCCGCCAGTCGGACTTTCCCCTGGAGCCGGACGTGCGGCGCCCCGGGGCACGGGCAGCGCCGCGCGAGCCCCCCGGCGGAGGGCAGGGTGGTGGCGATGGCCGTGGGCTTCCTCCAGGGGGCGCCGAACGCGCACATGTCGAAGACCAGGTGCGCGGCGCCGAGCTTCCTGAGGGCTCGGGCGATCCCTTGGTGCTGGAACAGCCGCGACCGAGCGGGGTTCTCCAGCACCACGTGGACGCCCATGCGGTAGCAGAGCTCCAGGATCCGAACAGTGAAATCGACGCACCTCGTCGAAGGCGGAGAAGCCAACCCAGTAGTCCGGGCCGGTGTCCACCCCGTGCACGGCGTGCCGAGCAGAACGGCCCAGATGGCCCCCGCCCGAATCCACCGCACAACTTCTGTAGCAACTTTCCGATTG